CACCTCCGAGTTCTAGCACACGTTCAGCTCGATGACGATCCCCGGACTCCGATCCAGCAAAGTGTCGGGGATGAGTTCTGTCAGCACGACGGCGTGGTGACGATCTTGATGTTCTACCGTCGCAGGGCTTCGCCTAAGCACCGCTACAATATTATCGAGGATTATGGTGGAGGGGGGCACCGCACACGGCTAAGAGATCAATGATCAATTGTTGTCTCTATGGGGTGCCCCCTCCTCCGTATATAAAGGGGGGGAGGAGGAGAGGGCCGACCAAGGGGAGGAGGCGCGCCCAAGGGGGGCAATCCTACTCCAAGTAGGTTTGCCCCCCCTTTCTTATTCCAACTAGGAGAAGGGGGGAAGGAGGAGGTGGAGAGAAGGAAGGAGAAGGGGGGCCGCCGCCCCCTTCCCTTGTCCAATTCGAATTGGGGCAAGGGGGGCCGCGCGCCACCTCCTGGCATCCCTCTCTCCTTTCCACTAAGGCCCAATAAGGCCCAATAGCTTCCCGGGGGGGTTCCGATAACCCCCGGAACTCTGGTTTTATCCGAAACTTCTCCGGAACACTTCCTGTGTCCGATTATAGTCGTCCAATATATCAATATTTAGGCCTCGACCATTTAGAGACTCCTCGTCATGTCCGTGATCACATCCGGGACTCCGAACAACCTTCGGTACATCAAAACATATAAACTCATAATGAAACTGTCATCGTAACGTTAAGCGTGCGGACCCTACGGGTTCGAGAACAATGTAGACATGACCAAGACACGTCGCCGGTCAATAACCAATAGCGGAACCTGGATGCTCATATTGGCTCCCACATATTCTACGAAGATCTTTATCGGTCAGACCGCATAACAACATACGTTGTTCCCTTTGTCATCGGTATGTTACTTGCCCAAGATTCGATCGTCGGTATCTCAATACCTAGTTCAATCTCGTTATCGGCAAGTCTCTTTACTCGTTCCATAATACATCATCTCACAACTAACTCATTAGTTGAAATGCTTGCAAGGCTTATGTGATGTGCATTACCGAGAGGGCCTAGAGATACCTCTCCGACAATCGGAGTGACAAATTCTAATCTCGAAATATGCCAACCCAACATGCATGTACCTTCGGAGACACATGTAGAGCACCTTTATAATCACCCAGTTACGTTGTGACGTTTGGTAGCACACAAAGTGTTCCTCCGGTAAACGGGAGTTGCATAATCTCATAGTCATAGGAACATGTATAAGTCATGAAGAAAGCAATAGCAACATACTAAATGATCGGGTGCTAAGCTAATAGAATGGGTCATGTCAATCACATCATTCTCCTAATGATGTGATCCCGTTAATCAAATGACAACTCATGTCTATGGTTAGGAAACATAACCATCATTGATTAACGAGCTAGTCAAGTAGAGGCATACTAGTGACACTCTGTTTGTCTATGTATTCACACAAGTATTATGTTTCCGGTTAATACAAAGTTTCACTAGTATGCCTCTACTTGACTAGCTCGTTAATCGAAGATGGTTATGTTTCCTAACCATAGACATGAGTTATCATTTGATTAACGGGATCACATCATTAGGAGAATGATGTGATTGACATGACCCATTCTGTTAGCTTAGCATACGATCATTTAGTATGTTGCTATTGCTTTCTTCATGACTTATACATGTTCCTATGACTATGAGATTATGCAACTCCCGTTTGTCGGAGGAACACTTTGTGTGCTACCAAACGTCACAACGTAACTGGGTGATTATAAAGGTGCTCTACAGGTGTTTCCGAAGGTACTTGTTGGGTTGGCGTATTTCGAGATTAGGATTTGTCACTCCGATTGTCGGAGAGGTATCTCTGGGCCCTCTCGGTAATGCACATCACTTAAGCCTTGCAAGCATTGCAACTAATGAGTTAGGTGAGCGATGATGTATTATGGAACGAGTAAAGAGACTTGTCGGTAACGAGATTGAACTAGGTATTGAGATACTGACGATCGAATCTCAGGCAAGTAACATACCGATGACAAAGGGAACAACGTATGTTGTTATGCGGTTTGACCGATAAAGATCTTCGTACAATATGTGGGAGCCAATATGAGCATCCAGGTTCCGCTATTGGTTATTGACCGGAGACGTGTCTCGGTCATGTCTACATAGTTTTTGAACCCGTAGGGTCCGCATGCTTAACATTATGATGACAGTTATATTATGAGTTTATATGCTTTGATGTACCGAAGGTTGTTCGGAGTCCCGGATGTGATCACGGACATGACGAGGAGTTTCGAAATGGTCGAGACATGAAGATTGATATATTGGAAGCCTATGTTTAGATATCGGAAGTGTTCCGGGTGAAATCGGGATTTTACCAAAGTACCGGAGGGGTTACCGGAACCCCCCGGAGGCTATTGGGCCTTATGGGCCCAAGTGGAGGAAGAGGAGAGGAGGCCAAGGGGCAGCCGCGCGCCCCTCCCCCCCCCCCCAAGTTCGAATTGGACAAGGAGGGGGGCGGCGCCCCCCTTTCCTTTCCCCTCTCTCCTCCTTCCCCCCAAGTCCTAATCCAACTAGGAAAAAGGAGGGGAGTCCTAAGTAGGACTCCTCCGGCGCGCCCTCTCCCCTGGCCGGCCGCACCCCCTTGCTCCTTTGTATACGGAGGCAGGGGGCACCCTAGAGACACAACAATTGATCTGTTTGATCTTTTAGCCGTGTGCGGTGCCCCCCTCCACCATAGTCCACCTCGATAATACTGTAGCGGTGCTTAGGCGAAGCCCTGCGCCGGTAGAACATCAACATTGTCACCACGCCGTCGTGCTGACGAAGTTCTCCCTCAACACTCGACTGGATCGGAGTTCGAGGGACGTCATCGGGCTGAACGTGTGCTGAACTCGGAGGTGTCGTACATTCGGTACTTGATTGGTCGGATCGTGAAGACGTACGACTACATCAACCGCGTTGTGCTAACGCTTCCGCTTTCGGTCTACGAGGATACGTGGACAACACTCTCCCCTCTCGTTGCTATGCATCACCATGATCTTGCGTGTGCGTTGGAAAACTTTTGAAATTACTACGTTCCCCAACACGAGTGTCCCAGCTACGACGCGTTGACCCACGGCGCTGGCCTGCGCACGGTTGAACCCATCGCTAACATCTCCCCATCTTTCTCCCCTAACCCCGTGCCGTCCAAACCATGGCTGCTGCCGTGAATGCCATGGACGACCTCCGCACATCCTCCCTCCCCCCATCTGCCCACTTTCCCCCCTCTTTTGCAGATCTGCAGCGGCGGTGAGTTGCAACGGTGTGCGGCGACGGGGGCGAACCATGACCGGCTAGAGCTACAACCATGGCGGCCAGATGTTGGAACCAACGCAAATTTTTGCTTCCACCGATGTTTTAGCTTGCTAGAACCGTCATTAGTTTTTGCATTTTTGCTACCACCGTTTTGTGATTTACTGCAACCAGTGTTAATTTTTTCTACCATCGGCTTCTTGATTTTTCTGGAACCAGTGCTCGATTTTTCATTTTTGCTATCACTAGCGTTTCGATTTGCTGGAACCAGCTTCAATTTTTGCTACCATCAGGTTTTTGGTTTGTTGGAACGACGTCAATTTTTTCCAATTTTGCTACCAATGTTTTATGGGTTTTTGCTGGAACCGCCAAGAATTTTTGCTACGACCGGCGGAATTTTTTGCTGCGACCGGCAAATTAAGGACGAGGAACAACACCAGCTCTATGACGGGTGCTGCGGCTCTGCGAGCCGCGGGGGGCCTCGCCGGAGATGCGCCTCGGGGGCCTTGTTGGAGCTGCGCGGTGCTGCGAGCCGCGGGGGATCTCGCCGAGATGCGCTACGGGGGCCCGAGGAAGAAGAAGCCGGGGCGATATTTTTTTGCTCCAGATCCAACCGTCGTGCGGCTCGCATTGAGCGGCTATGGCTGGACCGGCCGCAATTTTCGGTCGGTGCGCCGGCGCCTAGCGGTGCCCCATCTGATAAGCTTCAACTCTTTCTTTCAGTTATTCTTTCCTTTTTCTATTTCTTTTTTCCCTTTTTTCGTTTTTTGTTTTTCTTTTTTCCATTTTTGGTTTTCTGTTTTTTCTTTTCTTCTTCTTCCTGGTTTCTTCTCTCATTGATATTTGTGTTTTCTTTTCTCAAATACGTGAACTTTTTCAAAATCGATGATGTATTTTTTCAATTTTTATGAAATTTTCTTTTCAAATTCTATGAAGTTTTTCTATTTTTCAAGAACTATTTTAAAAAGTAATTATTTTGTTTCTAATTTGATGAACTTTTTTTCAAAGTCTATGAACTGTTTTCAAATTCAATGAACATTTGTTCAATTTGGATGCACTTTTTTCAAAAATTGATGAATTTCTTTCAGCATTGTGAACATTTTTAAAAATTTTGTGAATTATTTTTTTTAAATTGATGAACTTTTTTCAAAATCATTGAACTTTTCTTGAATAGGGCAACGTTTTTTTTTTGCATGTTCACGAACTTTTTCCGAAATTTGCGAAGTTTCATTTTTCTTAAAAGAAAATCATATATGAGCGGCTATGTATGTTTTTCAAGTGTTAGCACTGCATTTTGTCAGTTGCAAAGACACGCCCTAGTGGTTAGCTGAACGAATGTAGGTAGTGCAGGTCGCTAGTTTGAATTGTCGCTGGAACGTAATTTTTGGAGAAAAAAAATCGCGCATCCTTTTTTATCACCATTTTATGCGGTGCCCCTTCGTGGGCCGGCCGAGGCCGCGCTGTAGCTCCCTAGCCCCTCTCGCAATAAGCGAGATACAGCCCTGACGACGAACGCGAGCGAGATAAGCGGTGGAGGGCCGAACAGGCCATATAACAATATAACATAGAGTCCAAGGCCTGGAAAAAGCCCACTGCAGACCGACCCTAGTCCTTGGTAGTCTATACAGGAACCTTGTCGGCGACGATTCGCTTGTTCTCCACCCCCTTCTGCCCTCTCCTCCCAAATTCCCAATCCCCTCCCCAAAGGACTGAAACCCTAATCCCCATGCCAATCACGCCCCCCTTCGGTCTCCTCGAGCCTCTGAAGCTCGTCATCGATGACGGCCGCTCCCCTTCGATACCGGAGAGCACGCCAGTGCACATCATGGTTCCCGTCGATGCCCGGATGGCGGTCCTTGTGTCCATCGACGGGAGCGGGAACGTCACGGTGAGCGCTCCGTCCTGGCGCATACCTATAATCAGGGCCGGAAAGTTCGAGGCCACTACCTCCTCCGGCGCGGGGCCACTGTCATTCGTTGACCTACATACTGATGGGCGCTACTCCGGCATAGATTTCCCCGTTCCCGCTGGGGCGTACAGAAGCATCGGGGAAATCATCAAGGCAACCTGCTCCTGCTTAAGCCGCCCCTGCCCCTCTCACTATCGGTATGTTTGGAATCGATCCTTGCGGGTTCCTTGTGTGTTTTGGTCGGATTTCTGGCTTCCATGGACGTTTAATTTTATATAGGAAGCAAAAATAAAAATAAAAATCATTTTTTAACTATCAATTGGCAGTAGCAGCAATTATAGCAAGGATTGTTTATTCATCTCGTTGGATCAGATAAATTGTTTCTTATACTTAACGAGTCCATCTGCTCGTTTCACTTCAGGCATGAGGATGGTCCCTCTGCGCTGCAACAGCCGAGTGACTCGTCCCCCACTACAACGTTTGAGGACTTGGAGGAGGCCATGTTCGAGGCAGCTCCAACATTTGAGGCCACTTCCTCTACCTGTCCGCAGGCACAGGCAGTAACTCCCGGGTCACCCATGTCACCCATTTTGAGCCATATACGACATGATTGGGGTCTGGAATTTTACATCAGGGTTGATCACCAAGGATCATTCCACACATATCCTGACATTGGTGGCCCGTTTCAGAGCTTGCAACAAGCTAAAAATGCCATTGATCAACATCTTCATGGCCGTCGTCACACCTCAATGTAAAGTTTCTCGACTTTGCTCTAGATTTTCATCTCTTCGTATCTCCCTTCCTTGTTTATTCAAACAATGTGACATAGCAAGGTGCTTCTCTGATGTAGGCCAACAAAAGATGGCCACAAATTTTACAGCACGAATCAAGAAAAGAAATGCCACTAAGTTGGATTATAGAGAAGTAAACAATTTGATAAAGAAAATACTGGCCTACATTAAAATTTTATATTCGTGTTCAGAGGCCACTTATTGTTGGTGAAACATTTTCTTTGTCAGTATCTGTGAGTGTTATTGAAATGGTGCATAAATTATAAGGATTCTGAAATTAACAAAATACTGTTAGGTGCTATGCTACCACCTTTTATGTTGCCATATTGGTTAGCTTTCTTACCAGGCATACCATCACAGCTCTGTTTCCCCATGTACAGTGCTGATAACCAGAACAATTTGATCCATTAACTGGTCTAAATAGTGCAGTAAGAGAACACCTAACACCTAACTGGTCTAAATAGCACGAATCAAGAACATCTGGAAATTAAACAATGGCTGCATTCTTCTGTTACATTGTGTGCTTGTTGAGTTCACAAAGTACATAGTACACTTTCTGTTCTCTGCTTTTGACGAAGTACAATCTGTTAAATCTTATGGAAATGCTCTTATTAGGTGCATGGAGCAAGCTGGTGTTTCTCAAAATGAGATGGGTATACGGCAGTGTCTTTTTTGGCCCGATGGCACAAGGAAGAAGCGCACAAAATCATATATATTTAAGAAGGGCCATGAACATATATCCAGATTGGTGTGTGCTATAGTGGACCAGTATAATGAGGATCACAATCTTTTGGGGGTTTGCTCTCTGTCTTTCACCTGTCTTTATGCTGCTTCTAGGATAGCACTTCATCGTATTCATATAGCACTTGCTTATCTGACTTGTGCTTCTTATTTTAGGATCTTGCATACAAACTCAAAGACATGGTGAGACACAAATCATTTCGTGAGAAGGATGAATGGTACCGCCATCTGAATTTCACCGCAAAGATTAAAGGAGCTGATGGCTTGGACTGGTTTGAAAAACTGTTCTTTGTTGAACTAAGAAATACAAAACAAGAAGAGAGCTATGGAGAGTGGGTAGTCAGCTGTTTTTGCATGGTCGATCCTACTGATAATGGTATTCTATATACTCTTGCCTTGAATTAAATAATTTTGAAATACAGTCTGTGGGTTGCATTAACTTGAGCATGCCTGTTAGATATAATTTTAGTTGTATTTCTGACTATTTGTTTGATCTTTGTGTTGCATTTCCTTTGATCTTCATGCACCATCTTTTGAGCTTTATATTTACAATATGTCAAGCTGGGTATGCACATCCATAGTGGTAATGGCTGCATGCGCGCATGTTCTCTCTACCTTTAGTCATATAGCTTTGCGATGTGTGTGTCTGGTTGTCTATTTGACTATTTGGCAGTTTAGCTAACCGTCTTTTCCCTCTTGTTATTGAAGGTCATTGTGGTGGTTGTAAAAGTGGTGTGAGGCACCCCAACAAAGCTGATGCATACACTTGTGGTCATGTGGGTGCAGATGAGCTATGTGGATGCCCGGCAGAGTGGAGCGACTCCGATGAAGATGTATGTTTGATTTATTCCTGTAGTGTACGTTTAACATGCTTGTGGATTTAATCACGTCTCCCTCTTTTACAGGATAGGAGCAAGGAGCGTAGGATAAGACGTATGTACAAGGTAATGATGTATCTTGTGTGATATGGTACCATTTGTAGTAACATGATGATGTTTGCTTGTAGACTGATTGTAATCCATTGCTTGTGTACTATTATTTTTAGGGCCGGAAACCTTTCGTCCTCCCTGCGTCGGCTGTACCCAAGGAGATAGCATAAGGTGATGGACTGGGGACACTGGAGATGAGGGCGCTAAAGCGGAACGGCTCTGTTCCTTGCAATGGACTGTCTATGGACTGAATGAATATTTTGTCAGCACCAACCCAACCCAATATCTAGCTGTCTTTTTACTGTTAATAAGTAGCTCAAATAAAGTCGCTGGTTGTGGCCCTGTGGATTCCTGCAGCTGTTGGGTGTCAGGGATTTGGGCGAGCTCCATGTATATTTTGGTCCTTGGACATGCAGAGCAAAGTGTTGGAGTCTTTGGGGTGCGTCCACGGCATGCTTTTGACCTTCCGGATAATTCCACGCATTATCTCCAAACTCCAACAGCCACGCAGAGTTGTGCCGCTGCACCTGTCGCCTCCTTTTTTTTTAAAAAAAAAACAGTAACTTCCTTTCTTCAAGCACTCCCAAGCTCCTCTCACGCAGCCTCCTAAACCTGTTTCATCGGCCCAATCAAGTGATACGGGCCATCACATGATACCCTGCTACGGGACTCTGTGGTGCCTTGGGTCAACATGCAAGGGACAGGATCAGCTCACTTATCATTTACACGTGCCCCCTTGGTACATTTGCATGTGCCCCCCCTTGAAAACAGCCCATCTTTGTGAAACCACAACGGACCTATGCATCTGTCCCCAAGACCCCAACATCCACATCGTGAATTAATCAAACTTAAACCACATCATTTAGGCCTTGTTCTGTTACTTTACATGTGATCAATCAACACAAAAATGAATGTTGCCCAGCTGAACAAATAAAACGTAGTACATGCTAAAATTCACTACATTTAAAGTAAGCTCTCATCAGTACAGCAAGCAACAACTTGAAACATTCGTATCTTGAGCCTTCAGGTCGCCATCAATTTTATTTCATAATGAATATATTGGCATGTGATCAGCATGAACCCATTTTCCATTCCTGTATTCACATCTGAAATTTTCGAGCATCAAAATATTTAGCAGAAATCTTGACAAAAAATCCATCTCAACAAACAATAGTACAAACTAGCAAATTGTGAGGGGTGGCAAATTGCCAAAAATCATTCATAGCATCAAACGAATCGCTGGATCAGAAGCATTTCAACAAATAAAGGTGCCATCTTGGTCTAGGAATTAACATGACCTTAATATACATATATTTACAAGCGTATTACTTAGTTCACTAGTAATTTACATAACTAAACCAAACAGCTTCACTACAGATCACTTGGTGACTCCATATTCTCCTTGTACGCCATCCTATGCTGGGCAGAAATGCACACCTACATGATAACATCAAGAATTACAACAACCTAATAAACCCTCTCAAACGATCGTACAACATTAAATATGTGAAACCGTAAACACTTCTGTGACGCCAAATACCCCGCGTGTCTGTTGCACCATCTAATTCTCCTGATCAATTTCGTTGTTTCTTGACCTATAACAGCATGTAAAAAAATCGCTTGTTACACTAAGAGATCATGACATGCTCACAAGTCACAAACAGTAGAGTTATATTCACCTCTTTTTCTTCTTTCCACTTTTGCTATGTAGTTAATCAAGAAAGTAGCAATCGACAATCGCACATGTACTGAGTTCAGTGTGTCGAGTACGAAAGGTTTGTTACCCACCCTCCATGATTGTTCTCTTGTTAGAAAACTAAACAATGCTTACATCTTATTTTACCCATAATATTTGTAGATAGTCAAAGAAGACACTATTTTGATTAGCAGGCCAGTTTATTTGGCCAGCAAGTCAGCTTATTACACTGTGATAAAGTAATTTTGATCCATCAAACCTTCCTAATTCCAGCTGCTACAAAGTGAGAACAAGTACATAGATTTCCAATACTTGGAGGTCCCAGCCTGACCTAGAGTTCTACTGGGATTTTCTGTTAGTCAAGCATTATTGAGCCTCATTTGGCATGAATTTTAGTCAATTACTCTAAATGCTCACTTATGCTAGGCTGTACATGAGGTTTTCAACTACTGTATGTAAGAAACATTCTATGACACTTTATAAGAAAGATTACCTCTATATACAATTCAGATGGACATATTAGGACAAGAAGTGGTGATCAATATTATAACACTGCTAGATCTCAAGATTAGATGCCAGAACCAATGACTGAACAAGAACATCACTATGTTGCAGTAATCATTCTTCTAAATCTTCGAGATTAAAATACTGATGCATATCTCCACTAAGAATTAACTTTAACATCTGTTGTGACTGAAATGCGAGACACATAATTTTATAGTAGAACTAATAGTACATGTAGCTGTATCTGCATGATTTCTCCACTTCGTTCATTTGTTGACATACAATTGAACAGTTGCCTAAGAGTTGTGACACTCTAGCCCTGTCTAGAAGTAACCCACGACTCACAAAAGGAAATGGCCAAACAAAGAGGCACCTTCTTGTGTGCCTATATGTAACGCCCTCGATGCGGCTATATCTCCCACGTGTCGAAGCACAACTTAGAGGCATAACCGCATTGAAAGCAATGTCGCAAGCACTGGTCAAGATATCTTCCGATATTCCAATAAATCGGCCGATTTATCGCTTATCGTTGTCTGACCGATATGATAAATGGGCCGATAAATCAGCCGATATGGCGATAAATCGGCCGATATGCCGATAAACTGGCCGATTTACCCCTTATCATGGGTCGACCGATAAGTTCCCGATAAGCGATATCCTCAACATTGGTCGCAAGTGAGGTAATCTTCACACAACCCATGTAATACATAAGGGAAAGAGATACATAGTTGGCTTACAATCATCACTTCACACAAATACATAAATAAAGCATTACATCATCCAAATACAATCAGGGTCCGACTACGGAACCAAAATAAAAGAAGAACCCCAAATGCGACAAGGTCCCCGATCGACCCCAACTGGGCTCCACTACTGATCAACTAGAATGAAACAACACAAAGGACAAGATCTTCAATGAGCTTCTCCTGAGCTGGGTTGCGTCATCTGCACGGACTCATCGGCACCTGCAAACTGGTTTTGGAAGTATATGTGAGTCACAGGGACTTAGCAATCTCGCACCCTCGCGATCATGACTATTTAAGCTTATGGGTAAGGTAAAGGTACGAGGTGGAGCTGCAGCAAGCGACTAGCATATATGGTGGCTAACATACGCAAATGAGAGCGAGAAGAGAAGGCAAAGCACGGTCGAACAACTATGATCAAGAAGTGATCCTAGAACAACCTACGTCAAGCATAACTCCAACACCGTGTTCACTTCCCGGACTCCGCCGAGAAGAGTCTGTCACGGTTACACACGCGGTTGATGTATTTTAATTAAATTAAGGTTCAAATTATCTACAACCGGACATTAACAAATTCCCATCTGCCCATAACCGCGGGCACGGCTTTCGAAAGTTCAAAACCCTGCAGGGGTGTCCCAACTTAGCCCATGACAAGCTCTCACGGTCAACGAAGGAATAGACCTCCTCCCGAGACATTCCGATCAGACTCAGTATCCGGTTCTACAAGACATCCTCGACAATGGTAAAACAAGTCCAGCAAGACCACCCGATGCACTGACATCCCGATAGGAGCTGCACATATCTCGTTCTCAGGGCACACCGGATAAGCTAAGCATACGGGAGCCAACGTAACCCAAGTTGCCAAGGGACGGCCCCGCACGGTGCTCTGGGTTGGACCAACACTTAGACAAGCACTGGCCCGGGGGTTTAAAATAAAGATGACCCTTGGGCTGGCCTAACCCAAGGGAAAAAGAGGCTAGGTGGCGAATGGTAAAACCAAGGTTGGGCCTTGCTGGAGGAGTTTTATTCAAAACGAACTGTCAAGGGGTTCCCATTATAACCCAACCACGTAAGGAACGCAAAATCCGGAAACATAACACCGATATGACGGAAACTAGGGCGGCAAGAGTGGAACAAAACACCAGGCATAAGGCCGAGCCTTCCATCCTTTACCAAGTATATAGATGCATTAATTAAATAAGATATAATGTGATATCCCAACAAGTAAACATGTTCCAACAAGGAACAACATCTCCATGTTCCAACATGGAACAAACTTCGATCTTCACCTGCAACTAACAACGCTATAAGAGGGGCTGAGCAAAGCGGTAACATAGTCAAACAACGGTTTGCTAGGACAAGGTGGGTTAGAGGCTTGGTTCAACAATATTCGAGGCATGATAAGCAATTGGTAGGTATCGCAACATAGGCATAGCAAAAGAGCGAGCAACTAAGCAAGCAAAGATAGAAGTAATTTCGAGGGTATGGTCATCTTGCCTAAGATCCCGCAAGGAAGAAGAACGAGTCCATGAAGAAGACAAACGGACATAGATGAACGGGTCCTCACAAACGCGACGTTACCGGAACCAACCCGAAGAAGCAAACACCGGAAAGAAGCACACAACATAGTAAACAACCAACACATGAACATGATATGATATGCGGGATGCGGTATGCGATGCATATGCATGATTTGACAAGGAATGATTGAACCTGGCCTCAACTTGGAAATCCAAGTGTGCCACTGGAAAGGTGATATGATTTCGGTTGAAATTGATATAAAGATCACCGGAATCGGAGTTACGGTTTGGAAATGCCGAGCAAATCAAATATGGCACCGGTCTGCGATATACAGCAAGTAGCCATCTAAATGCAACAAGATAATTATGCTACAGCACTCAAACATGGCAACAAAATACATGGCAGGGATCCATTCATAATGCTTAACAAAAGATGAACACTGAGCTACGGCCAATTCATCCACTAACAGGTTCAAACAAGCATGGCAAAAGAGCAATTGGTAAACAGATTCAGACTTAGTGAAATTAACACAAGCCTGGAATTTCAGATCAGGTAGCACACTTTGGAGCATGAAAACTAGATGCTACAAGAACTTAACATGGCAAAGTAAAGTATGGCATGGAGCTACGCAAAAAGCTTAACAAAAGTCCCTTAGTAACCTTGAGCCAAAAGGGATCAGAAAATACAATTGCAAGCATGTGAACAT